AGCTAGTTGCCGGATTTGGTGGTCTTGAAGGTTCGATGAAAGCAATCAATATTAGAAAACAGACAACCTTTTCGCAACTAATATCACACTGACATACACCGCTAAGCAAGTCTTAATCTCTAAATCATGTGCCCTTGGATAGGAACAAATACATCAATTGAAAACGCATGTGGTAGATAAAGCAAATACATAAACAATAGCCTTCATTTGGCGCGAAAATATGCTCAGATATTTGTCCGTGGACATGATCTGTTCCGAGATGCGAACAGTTTCCGAGAGCGAAGTTTGAGGAAAACTTTGAGCTTCGAGGAACAGATAATATCCAAGGACAAATATCCGAGCATATTTTCAAAGACAAATGGAGGCTGTTGTGTTTATTATCCTTCAAATATTTTTGGCAACACGCGCAGTTTCGAAAATCGAGGAATATTCTCGGATATTCCGTTTTAGCTGGGGAATATTCGGTCACGGGACGCGTTTAGACCAATCGCGCGCGAGCGAAAATATTTGATGGATCATAACTGTTGTTATGCTTCAACCATTACCTTTTCCTCAAGTGAACCGCTTTTGTAGATTGACGAGGCAGACACAGCGACAGCAAGGCACTAAATCAACAATTTGAAACCCTAAAGAAGAAAATTAGGTAGATGAACTTTTTTAAAATTACTTCGCTTATCAATTGAATTAGCGAGTGAATATTTTACAGTGAGGATCCCGCGGCATGCGGCACAAGTGTGACCTGTTTTAATTAATTCGTATTGTTTCGTGCAGATCATCTAATTAGAAGCCAGGATTGCTTGAAGAAAGACAATTCAAAACAGTAAGTGATCGTGCGGGAAAGATAAAGTTCAAACTTTACAGTTTTGGTTTCTAAATCGTACTCAAAACTAATTTGCAGGTCCAAAATGTGAAGTGTTTACCACAAAACCCGATAAACAGGCATCTGGTTGACACCCTATTTGCCCGGCAACAACTTAAAACTCAAGAAGTGATGAAAGATACTTTCTAGCGACAGTATAAATGCACTCTTGCGTACTTTAACTGGAAAATACGACAACATTTCTGGGTATATTTTGTTGTCTTGCTTTTCTGCATGGATCTAGCAGCAGACAAATGACAAACGAAAAGAAGAACTTGCCATTTTTCTGTTGTGAAAAAGCAGCAAGTCTTCTTTCTTCTTGTAACTGATGCAAAGTAGTGTGGATAAAGGTTCATATCAGCGAACCCTTAGTAAATATTCTGAAGGTTGCTCAATGTCACCTCACTCCGGCCTAATCGGCTGATGTTTGAAAATGTTACACCTTGATTTGACCCTACCTTGTTTCAGTGCATTGCTGGCAGAGCTGAAATGACAGGAAGTGGCGCTGAAACGGTGTCGCTATTTTCGACCAAAGCTCGTATGCTAGGTGGCCTCGTTTCATCACTTCCTTGAGACATGAATACATAAAGCCTACCTTACTGTATAATAATAATAAAACAATTGAGTATTGGATTAATAAATGGTTTGGGGCAACTTGTGGCTGATTTTTAAAATTACAAAGACTTGCTCAATTAGCAATGAATTTATCTTTTCTTGGATTTATTCTCATGGATCATAAAAGATTTTCGTAATGGGAGCGTGACGTTACGGTAAAGGACCTCTTCATCCAGGCTTAGGTTTTTGCAACGCACAGTAGTACTACAACTGAAGGAAGTGCAAAAGGGGCAAAAAAAGATATCTTTTATCATAATAAGGATAAAGATAAATTGCCAGAGCCCTCAGAAGTAAAACGTGTTCAAAGTCTCACTGAGAATTATCGCTGATTTAGCGTGAGAGGTCATGTTTACAGCAAGCAAAAAATCGAAAAAACTAAGATTGCTTTACAACTACTAGAACTGACAGTTCCAAAAAGCTAAAACGAGGACATATTTAAAAGAATGGTACAGCAGTCTGAATATGAAAAATTCTCTGATGGCAACTGTCCCAATGATCGTGCCTTCCTCTTTCCATCATCATTTGAATACACTATTTAATATATGGGGAG